TTTAAGACCATTGAGTGAGAGAAAAACAAAAGGAAAAATTGCTCTGAAACATGAGTCGTAATTAACGAGAGAAAAAGAAAAGCTAACTTTCCATGGAGTTATATTTTATAAATAACTGATTGAAAAATGTTATTAATGGAGATTGAATCCTAGATTATTTACATCAGTGGTTGCCCTCTGAATAAGGTCGTTAAAAGTCTTTATTGTAGCACTAACACAGCACAACGTCCATTGGGTGCTCCGCATTGTTAGCGGGTGCGAGAGACAACACTACACTCGATACACGTGCACGGTGGGCGCGGTGATTAGCGAGGTGGGAATCACACACGCGCTACTACACTGAACTGCGTTGTCGGACGACCGGTGTGTCTGATTTGTGATGAAACTTTACGTTGAAGAAATGCTGGACTCAGTCCTCTTGGTCTCCTGCAATTATTTTTGAGAAATTTACATTACATTAACACTTCACTGATGAGAACCAAGAATCATGATACGTATTACATTATTATATTCATATCAATGAATCATCACCAAGATCGAATGTTATACTGCATCAATCTCTCGAGTAAAAGTATATTCTGTAACTGTTCATACACCATGAACAAAAAAATGGGGAACACTCCGAAGAAGGCTCACGGCACGTGAATATTTTATCCAGTTTTAATACCACTCTTGAATGGACTTACAGAAAATTGCGCTATCGAAAAAAATCGTAGACAGCTTGACCCCAGCGATTATGTTATTATCTGCAATAATCTCAATTATTCCTTTCTTTGTACCTCAATTTGAGTTCTGGAAAGAATATTCGGATAATGTCTGCAATTTTCGTCTCGCACAGAAAAAATTACAGTAGAATAATTTTCTAGAGAGAAATCGATATAATTTTTTTGACCTACAATGTTTAACTCTCTTTCCCCTGGTATCAATTCTTCGGGCGAATGATTAGGATGAACTGTAAATAATACACATGTATTAGCAATTCATCATCGTACTGAAACTTACTTTTTTTTTTTATATTCCGGCCCTTTCTGCCCTCTGATTGGCTAATCGGCCCTATCCAACCCTATGCATGCGGCTGTGGATTCTACACTGCACCGTATTCACACTCCTATAGAACATAGGAGTAGCATGGGAAACCACAGAAAACCCATGCCGGTACAGGCGGTCACTATATTAGCGATCTCCCGCTCGCCGGAGCCTCCGGTTGAAAAACTCGGTTCCACAGGGAATCGAACTCACAACCTTTCGCACACTAGGCTCGCACCTAGCCGCTTCGGCCACCGACGTCGGTTGAAACTTACTTGATTATTAATTTTCCATTTCCAGTCGGTTATAGATCCACTTACACTTTAGTTAGCCTTCAGGCTGGCCATTCTGGCTAAGATACTATGCAGAACATTCAAAGGAAAAGAGCAAGGTTGGGCAAGTAAAATACCACCGGTATTTTACCAAGTTTTCTAGATGTAAAAAAAAAGTAATTTTTCAAGGGGGTTTTAGACCTTTTTTGACGTGGATACGTCTATGGTTTCAATATGGGAGGTCATTTTGGGAAACGGTTTTTATGTGCAGCGTCATCTATCGGAATTCTAGAAAATTCTAGACATTTCGAGCTAATTCGAGAAGTTTCTTGAAATTTCGAGGAAATTCAGGGAATTTCTAGAAAATTTGAAGAAAAGCAAGGAGTTTCTAGGAAATTCGAGAAAGAAGGGAAGACCATGGATGTATCGAAGTACAATTACACCTGTATCGAAGGTACAGCTGTCTGCAATTTTACCTCGTGTGTCGCCATCGTGCGCGATTGATAACAACAGAGTTATTCGGGGGCAAGAACAACCCTGCTGACAGGTGGGTCGAGCTCCCGTGTCATGTCCAAGTTTTACAAGGGTCATGCCTCGCGAGGGTCAAATATCGGCAGGGTCATGCCTTGCGAGGGTCAAATGTCGCAGCGGTCAAACAATAGAGGTAGACATGACAATCTCATGAGCCAAATGACATCAAGCATCAACCGGGGAGGCAGGAAGAAAATAGTTGAGTCATTTTGGTGAACGATACAATTTTTTTTTGTATGCGGCACACAACATTATAGTAACTTCACAAGCGTAATTTTTGCAAATTAAAATGGAGTTAAACTAACCAAAGTTCAAAAGTAACCACGACAAATCTATCGTGAGGAGAACTATAAAATAGTTGCAATGACTACATTCCATTGTAGTAATTACTTCTCCGGCCATAGTTACCGTAACCCATGAAAAATTGTTGAGGACTTTTTGACTGTAATTCGATGGTGATGAAATATAGTCAGAAAAATTATATTTTTCTCTCAGTGTAGGAGAGGGAGGTAGGACAATCACAAGGGTCCAACGATCATTGAGGTAAAACAAAAGGAGCTGGAAGGAAAATCATTAAGGTCTGACGGAAGACATGATCCTCGCGAGGTATCACCCTTACGACGTATGAATCTTGCAATGTTGATCTTGTGAGATACGACCATTGCGACGTTTGACCCTCATGAGGCAGGACCCTTGCAAGATCCCAACTTGGCAACCATCCCAAGTCTGGCTCCACCTCGACTTGCCGAGTGTTGGTAAACAAGCTTGGGCCATAATTCAGTCAATGCTTAAGCCAGTCTTCAGCCAATGGCGCATCTTGAGCCTTTTAATCCGACCCGACCCTTTTGAGATTTGCTGTGATAAATAAAGTGTTGAAAGAGGAGTAGGTAGGAGACAGTTAAAGAAGAGCTCAGCCAAGAACCAAGCCTCTTGGAAACTGGTGTTCCTCAATCAAAATGGTTGACAAAATATTTGGCATTGAGGAAACTGTACAAAATAAGTGGTAATCACGAAATATATGTCCTTTAAAGAATTTTTCGAGGAAACCGAATTATTTCATTATTAAATGAGAAAAGAAAATGAAATCAACAAGAAAATTGTGTCGGACTCAATTAGGTAAATAACTTGAAGGCGAAGACTGGGTCAAATTTTGACCTTTGTGGGGTTCATACCAGTTGCGTCCCCGTCGCGAACCCTGGGTAATGCTAAGTGCTGGTGAAGCTCGATACTTAAAAAATAAGTGCTTCACTACACGTTGAATTTATATGAACATCTTAAAATTGAAATTAAAAAAACTGCTTTTAGAAGGAGAAGCGTAGAATGGGAGGTCCCGTAGACCTACATGGGCATCCACGTGACTAAAGTGTAATAGCTCAAACAGGTGAAATTCATCTATAGCAACCAGTTTCGACACAATATACGTCGAAATACTTCAAGATTATATATAAAAGATTAATATTTACCTATCAGTATCCCTGAGAAATTCAAGGTGCTATGTTATCTAATTCCCCACTGAATCTTAAATAACTATGTACATAACTATGGATCATACTGGGGTAGAGAATAGAATCTTGAATTTTTCAAGATATTGAAGACAGGTTTGGGCAGCAGTAAAAAGCACAATATCCGGTTATTCGATGATAATGCCTGATGTCACAGACACAAGTTTGTTGAGGAGTAGAAAGAAATGAATTCGTGGGAAGGCACACAGAGAGAGAGAGAGAAAGAGTACATCTACGTCTTGATAAATTGTCATTGAGATTCCCCGAGTCCAATAATTGGACCTGACAAGTTCTACTTAGGTCTTTCCGTTCAGCACTGGATAGGTCTTGGGAAGCCTATTCCCAAGTGCTTCCGAGACCCTTCTACCTCTGATGGTTATATCCCATTTTAGTACTCGTTAGGTGTAAGCAGGGCTTGTATTCAGACTTTCCAAATCCTTGTCGGAAATCCTTGTCTTTCCAAATCCCCGTAATTCTATGGGCCTATATTAAATCCGGGTTTATAGGCCTGTTTACGCATGCATTATTGAAATAAAAAATGCAATTATTGTTTTTTTTTTAATCTCGAAAATCGATATTTCACGAGATGGTGGAGGGGAGACGCATGTATGCGGAGGCTTGAATTTTTTATCCAACAAGGGTAGAAGGTTGCAGAATCTATTTTAGCCACTCTTGTCCCTCCATTTGCATGCGTTGTCTAAATCTAAAATGAAATTCTTAACAAATCCGACCCTTATTCCAAGTGAAAATAAAAATTTTTTATTTCGCCATTTCTGGCGCCTCCGAGGGTTTCATTGGCATTATAAGGGCCAATAAATACAGAATCAACCTTCACTTGGCTAAAAAATTCGATTTTGGCGAAAGTCGACTTTCCCCCTGGAAAAACCAAAAATCTGCCCCTCTGGCTCCAGGTGAAAAAAAAAAATTTTATTTCGACATTTGTCGCGCCTCCGGAGGTTTCCTTGGCACCAGACTCGTTAGAAAATACAGAATCAACCTTCACTTGGCGAAAAATTTCAATTTTGGCGAAAATCGACTTTCACCCTGACCCTTGACCCACGTGAAAATGAAATTTTTTTTTTCGTCTTTTCTGTCACCTCCGAGGGTTTCATTAGCATCAGGGGGTCAATAAATACAGAATCAACGTTCACTATTTTTTATTTAAACACCGCCTGCAAATGGAGAAATGCAGGTGGCTAAAATATATCGTCCAATCATCTCTCCTCGCTACAAATTTCAACCCTCCGCATACATGCCTTCCCCTCCACCCCCTCGTGAACCCCCGTGGTCTCGGTAGCATAGAGGAGGACTTCTCAGAGCCGAAAAGAACTGAGGATTCGAAAGATCTCCGGAAAAGTACGTCGCAGAACTGATGAGGACTTGCCAGGTCAATCTAGGTCTGGAGAGATCTTGAAAGACCTGTGTACGTCCAATGAGAAGCAAATCCTCGACTCGGGCGATCACTTCTTATTGTACGAAATAATGAAAAATAAAGAGCAGCGAGTTCGATTCAGACAGGATACAGTGATAAATCGGTCTGTTATAAATATCGTCAAGGCATCAAAGTTCTTCCGTTCTTATCATTGTTGAAAACGTAAAGCAAAAGACAATCGTGAGGAAATGTGTTTATAGAGTATAGTTCATCATAATATGTAATGTGATAATAAAATCACTCTGTAACTTTCCTGAGCATGGAGAGATATCCCATTGCAGTTTTGAGAATCTGTTAACAATTAATCAATTAAAATGTTTGATTGGAAAACTCATTCTATTATAAGATGTCCCAAAACTCTTATCCTCCCTTTCTGAGGATGGAAAAGGATGACATTCTGAGTTGAAAGTTGTCCTTTCATTTTTCGCATCGATAGAGTACTTATTTGATAATTTTATCAGGGCCTCGATCGAATTCATCGTTAAAATGAGAATCTTTCCCACAACAAATTAATTCAAATGTCAAATGGGATGGGTTTTCGACGAGAGTTCTAGGACATCCTACATTCTAGGACTATAGAGGACTCTCGATAGTTGCAAAGCTTTTCCGTAATTCTTTTCTGAGGTACCTACACCATCGGAGGTCGTATCATCCATAATTGTTCTCCGAATCAAAACGCAAATGTCCGAATGATTTTGTCTCAAATTTGCGGAGCACTTGCGTCAGCAGTGAGGCTTGAAATGACCAACTACGTGGAATTGGAACCCCCTACTACACTGTTAGAAATTTTTTGAAATTTGAGTAACAGATGTATTTGAATTTTCAATACTCGGAATTTGAATTTAATTTCAGAGTAAATTACTCATGGAATTCCTCATTTGTCTTGGAAATTCAATAAAATTAAGTTTTTCATGATGAATGATCATTGAATTTCCAATGACAATTTTAATTTTCGCATCTATCGTAAAAATTAAGCATTACATTCAATTAAATTTTCAAGAGATTAAGAATTCCGAAGAAAAGTTGCCTGAATTTTCACGATTTCCAGTTATTTGCATTGTCGTATGAACCTAAGAAATCAAATTTCATTGTATATTCAAGAAAATTGACTGATTTATCGATAACCGGATCAATGGAAATGCCATGTGAATTATTCGATCGTTGTTAAAAATTTTAAGATTTTTTACTTGAAATTTCAAGTCATTTTCTAACAGTGTAGCATTATCTCTTTGCAACTATCTGTAGTCTACCAATAGTTGTATTGTGTAGAGTACATTGGTGAAACCAGGTAATGAGAAGACAAAGAATTTCCCAGCTGTCATACGAAGTGGTTCTTGAGACTCGAGCAAGCAAATCATCACTCCCTTTCTGAAACTCGCTGATGCCTCATACCACATACATTCAGCGTAGGCGGTGTAAATCTTACTGCTCTATGTATGTAAAGAGCCTGATTTATTCATGAATTTAAGATTTTTTCCTCCTGACAGACACACACGATTATGTTGACTCAGAAGATTCATTGAAAAATTCATTGAAATCAACTGTATTTAGTATGGAATAATTTCACTTTCGCGAAACCTGCTTGTAACTCCAAATTCTACTTCCTAAAGTAGGCTTTTAGTGGTTACATGTCTAAATATCATTCACAACAAGAACAGTGACTCAGTTGCTCATCCGCAAGTGGGAAAATTCTTGCCTGTGATTGTTATCACTGAGATGCGTCCTTCACGAATCCAAGTGGTCGTCAAAATGCGTTAAGTCAAAAACCGACAAAGATGGTCAATTTTTGGTCACTGTATACAATTTTTCGGCCTTCAACCGGCGGTCTTTTTCGGAGACTGACCATCCAGTTGTGGAGTCAGGGCCGGTTTGTTCATGTTCCTTTTCCTCTAAAGGTCCGTTTTGCAAAAGGAGCTTTAGCAAACGGTCCATTGAAATAACACATAGAGCGCTCTGGCGGAATGGATGATTGGGCAAACGGACCGTTTGTTAAACGGGCCTTTAGAGCAAAAGGTACATGAACAAACCGACCCTCAGGGAGTAACAGATGAATGTACAGTGAATAAGATTTCAGCTCCCTCTAAGATTTCAGCTTCGAGTGTACGAATTCCACGAATTTAAGTGATCCGGAAACCCCTGCTCATATTTCTACAATTCGACTGAGGAAAAAGAGGAACAGAGAGAAGGAATCTGTCTGTTCAAATTCTCCCGTACCGCCGGTGGTCCTACACTTAAAAATTTTCGTCTGAATATTCCGTGTAAATTTTATCGTGTTCAAGTTCCACTGAAACTTCAGAATACCTTATCATTGAAAAACGAAATCCTCCATTGATTTTCTGATCTGGAAATCAATAAAATACTTGATTTTTCAGTTCATTTATTCTATGAAAGTTCAGAAAAATCAGCAAAATTTAGGGAAAAATTGAAAATTCATGTCATTTTTTTCTGAGTATTCATATTTCACTGAGAATTCAATCAAGTTATGGAATTTCCATTTCACTCTCACTGAAAACTCATGAATTTCCGTGAATTCTACTTAAAACTAAAAATTTCATAACCGAATTTTTTGCCTAAATCCGATTTAAGTGTATTGCGCATTCCTATGGCGTAGAGGAGCCCACACGTTACTTACAAATGCTCAGATTGTTACTGGTGGGGGGAATCAATTTCCCCAACTGAAATCTTAGAGAAGCGAAATCATCGGGAGTATCTGCTGCGATCTGTCGAACTGCTCGTTTATCGTGATATTTAGAAATGATACTCTTTCTTTTGAAGGGAGGCTATTGAAGGGAGGCTATACACCGAGGGTTCGAAACCGTGTGCGCTTGTCAGAGATTAACAATAATTGAAATAACCTCGGATATGAGAGCCTCTCCTACGATGCAATAACCATAGATCAAGCCAAGAGTTGCAAGCCCACAAAAGGTGTACAAAGGACCAATGGCGCTCTCTTCCATTTCTCCTCCCTTAAAGTTATTTATACTAATTATTGAGGTAACTATCAACGGATAAAACTACTCACGATAATGACAATATATGACATCAAACCCAACATGAGAGTCATAACGACGAGATCCACTAGTAAAACGAAATGAAAGCTGTCATCAAACGACTTGGCCATCCTGCCAACACGCAGCAATATTGAATGTGTAGACTCATAGAAAAGGCAATCTCAAACTCACATACCAAATTGATCTCGTGTGCAGGTCGACCACCGATTTGAAGATCATATTCCTCTCCTGATCATCATTCGCATATGGCATAGTCCTTATCCTGTGCTCCACAATTGACAGTTGTCCGCAGATGTGGAGTTGTGTAGTAATGAGAAGACAGATCCAAGCATTCTGACATGCCAATAAATAAACCATCGGTGACAAGTAGGCGTATGTCATAAAATACGTTTGCATATCAAGTACAGCATACGGTAACTTAATTTGGAAGGGAAAAAACATAGAATTGTTGGTGCCGAAACCTGAAAAAGTTGCCATCTTTTATTATTGCCATCAACATCGACATTAGACTCCTTTGCGGGTCCGAAAACCATTCGTCCGCCATATGAAACGTCCAATTCGGCTTAGATAAAAAACGGAAGAAGCAATTACTCGACATGTATACACTATAAACATGGGTAAATATAAAAACAAACCTGAAAAATTCAAACCGAATGATTCGATGCCAACGACATAAAACAAAGATCACGAAGGCAATCGCAATATGAACCCAATCGAACAGTGTATTTATAACTAAGATCCAAGTTACATCAACTTCCAATTGTATATAAGAAATCCTCGTGTTTCGCTTATTTATTCTTCACTTCACATGTCCGTACCCGCATAGAAAAAAATATCAGTCAAAGCTTATAAGTAAGATGTAGTGATTTTGCCGGAATTATCTCTTGAATATATCCGCCTTGTATACCAGGTATATGTTAGATATATCCGGTGGCATATATGTACACACATGTATCCAACATATTTCTCAGATATTGCATTTTTTGCCGGAAAGTATCTCTCTATATAATGAAAAAATAAGGAGGTTTAGAAATTGCGGAGACGTTCCTGATTTCGAACTTTATCTGTGAGCTTGATGATGAGATGAATTATTATCTCTACCTCTTTATAGTATATTATGTCATCAGGCGATAAAAGTATTATCTGGCGAATCAGGCTTTATAATCACATTCGCCAGAGAATGCTTTTATCGCCGTGTGACATATGATATTTTATGTTGTTGGGCCCGAAAACCGCGATCTAACCGAGCAAAGCGAGGTTAGAATCGCGGTTTATCGGGCCTAATGACATAAATATGATTATTTCTCTGTAAGTTCATATGGGGTCATATCGGTATTATATGGCGGTCAAATGCTTAAAAAGGTATAAGAGATCAATTATACCTCATCCCATTCTATATAAATAAATGGATAAGTCTTAAGACAAAAGGCGTTGGTTGGAGCCTTTTATAAATAATAAAAATCTCAATTTTTCAAAGGAGCTCCATCATTCTATCAATTTTGTTGCTATACAATACGAACACCTAAACAGACCAAGAAGATGGGGAGGAGGGGGTGGCGAGCGAAGCAAACAGGGGGCGAAGCCCCCTAGTATCACATATAAGCGGATATAAGTGACATATATTTGTGTATATATATTTTTTTCATGTGGGTAAAAGAAAAATTCAGAGAATTAGAATTTAGACAGAAAAAATCCCACACTGCTCAACCGGGATTAGAACTCTGGTCTTGAGTTACGCACCCAACTAAGCTAGTAGGAACTACGGAATAGCCCAGTCGGAGCGCGTCGGAAAAAGAGGTTTGTTGTCGATTTTTCTTTATAAGTTATCGATTTCGATGATTTTTTTTAAATGCTCAGAATAACGCGTAGATCAAATGTGATCAAGTCCCAAGGTGTGGTTTTTGTTTATTAACAAAATGCCCCTTGGAGCGGTCACTTTGCATTAAAATATCTCGGAAACTATTGAGAAGTGATCGAGACATGCAGCGGCAAAGATTTAGATAATTTCGAGGCGAACAGAATGGTTTTAGACTCATGTCCCTATCACTATTAGTTTTCGAGATATTAACATTTATTTGTCGGGACGCGCGCAGCACCACGCGCTCTGTTTTAAACAAATGGCTGTAACTCAGCTAAAAATCGATATTTCAACTTTTTTTTTTCATTCAAGAATTTATGTGATTGTCGTGCTCTGAGAATTTTTTTCGATTTTTCACATCATTTTTCACCAAGTAATGGATGAAAACTGACGTATTTTCTATTTTTGTCTAAAAAAAATATTTTTTATGACAATGAAAAAATTCTTTTCTATACATCGGTTAATAAAGTGTTGTATTATCAAGAATCATTACGCAATGACCAAAACAACTTCGATTTTTCTCTTGGTCTTATGGCAATAGCGCGAGACAGAGACGCTCGGAGTTTTGAAATGGATTTTCTCTCTTTTGTGAGAATAACGGGCTCGAGTGGCAAAATTATCAACTATTACATATTTTTATTACCTTAATCGTTTCAAAATCTATCCACATTGCTTCCTTTCTTTTCCAACCATTCTAACCTTATTCTAATGCATGTGAGTACACTTTATGCAAAGGAGTCTTTTTTTAAAATTACAACAGTGTTTAAAAAATCTATCATCCAGAAAAATGCATATTGTATAATTTTTTTCTACTGATAGTAATTAAAAAGATAATAATAATAAAGTAAAAATTGAACAATCCGCATAAAAAAATTTTAATGAATGTGAAAATTGCTGGTTAGGGGATTGAATGAAAAATAAATATTTCCGCATACATGAGTAACACAAATCAAACCTTTGATGATAACTAGGTTTTTTTCAATTTCATGGCACAAAAAAGGATCGACTCCGTTTGTTGCGCAATAGGATTCCAGTTACGCACTATCCTGCTATGATATGTCATCGCCACGTGAGTTTGCATGTAAATTTTTTTTTTACATTGTGTAGAGTCATAGGGACTGTAAAGTTTCTTAAAAATAGAAATTCTTTATTTGAAGATTCTCCTCCTTTCCAAACAAGTGTCGTTATCATTTATTTATGGACGAAAATAGTGAAAATCATAACATTACCTCACTATGTTGAACTATGTGATAAATTCTCTCTACAATTTCCGAAATTGGTAAGTAAAATCATCATTTTTGTTCCATTTCTGTGATGAATAGTGTCGTATAATAATAGCTCCCATTTATTTTACTCAAACGTTATCGTTATTCTCAGCAATTCGAATATTTTGATTGCTCCGATAATCGGAGCATGATACTCGTACAAAACCGAAAATGTATGCGGTGAAATTTTTAGTTCTTCATTATTTATCACATAGTTCTTGATTTGACAATAATTATTTCTGTTTTAGGGGCGATGGAAATTAAAAATTTCAAGTGATGTAATTGAGAAGGTAGGTAAACTCCATTGTAAATTTGTAAAATTGTCCTGCTTCGTCCCTGTAATTCCGAGAATATTATAAAAATTATCGTGAGATGTTCAAACATTAATCCAAGAGGTGTGAAACTATATTTTTACTGTAATTACTCGAGCCAAAGTGGTCATCGTTTCTCGAAGTTTATGTTCAATTTGTCAACTTTTGAAAGTGACTTGCAATTCATTATCTCATCAAACTATTAGAGTAGTAGTAGTAGTATATTTATTGCTTTATGACATTACAGAAAATCTCTTGTAGCAAGAGGGTGCACAGTGCATTGTTACAATAGGTATTAGCAGCATATGGTAAACTAGCAAGAAAATAATAAGAAAAAAAATAATGAGTAAATATGAGAGTTAGAGCTAATTGAAATAAGTTGCAAAACGTTTAGCAGCAGCCGAGAGAAACGGAATCCTATAAGAGGCGGTGAGTATCGAAATCAAGTATTCACCGTGCATCATGGGGCAAGCATTATCTAAGAAACAGGCAAAAGCGACTGGAACAGAAGCAGAAATTACAGTTAAGCGACAAAATAACAAAGCAGTTGTAATGCAATTGACATAGGCTGTCAAGCTTGTTGGAGGTGCTGGGGAACGGATCTGTTGGACAGGGATTCTGTAACGAAGTTGTAAAGGGCTTTGGGGTTGGGGATGGAGAGAATTCTGAGGAGTTGGACTTGAGGTGGGACGGTAGCTAGTAATTCTCCAAGGTGTTTCACTCTCCAGACTTCGTAGGCTGGACAGTGGAGAATCAAATGCTCCACTGTCTCCAGAGCATTCATGTCACAGAAACGGGATGCGGATCCTGTGGTCAATTTGTGGGTGATGCCGTTGAGGGAAATTCCACAAACTAAGATATTAGCTAATCTGAGTTGGATGGCAATTCTCTTCATATGATCCCTCCCTTGAAAAACAAGTAACTGGCAGTCGTATCCGAGATACCTCGGATTACCTGTACTTGTGATGAGCAGGAGCATAGGTAGCTGACGTAGTCTGTAGACCTCAGCTTCCACGATATGGTATTGATGAAGTCCTGCCTTCTGTCAAACCAAAAGTCTGGGTCCAGGTGTTCGAACATTGAGGGGAGGTCAGCAGCAGCGAAGATGTCATGCAATCTGGAGACCCAGTTGAATTCGGGTTTGCAGATTGGGGTACGTGAGAGGCGTATCATCTCCAACAAGCATATATAAGGCCACCTATCATGCTTCATCTTCAGAATGCGATGAATCCAGTCCCAGATCTGGGTCAGAGCTCGAAGTGCGAGAGGTTGGACCCCCAACTCAAGTCTTATCTGGTAGCCGGGTGTATTCCTGGGGAGGAGAAAGATACGCTTGAAGTAGTTCGTTTGGATTTTTTCAATCTCGTCGAGATGAGCAGGGCCCCAGGTTTGAATGCCATACAACAGCGTAGATGAAACTAGACTGTCGAACAGCTTAATTCTGGAGTATCAATCTTCAGCTTTCGTACGATGGAGGATTGAATTTGCTGTGCCTACTGCGGACTTCGCTTTCTGCAGGGCGGCAGTGACTGCTTTTTTGCCTGACATGGTGCTGTCCAGGACCGTGCCGACACTGCAAAAACTCCGGTCTTATTCTAAGACCGAAATGTCCGAATCGTAAGACCGGATTGTCCGAATTTTTAAGTACTCAAATTGATCTTAAAATGTAAGATCGATCACCGATCTCATTGCTATTTTATTTTAAATTATGCAGTGCTGATTGTCAGATTGCCCAGGGAAGGGGAGGGTTCATCCCCAAGTCTTTCTAACCCTCATTTTTCGACCCTTACATTCTGACCCTTCAATCCAGGCCATTATAGTCAAATTTTATATTCTGACCCTTATAGTTTGACCCTCATATTTTGACCGGAATATTTTGACTTCCCATTGAAAGTCACAAATAAGGGTCAAAATAAAAGTCAGATATAAGGATCAGTCTGAGGGTCAAAAATAAGGGTCAGGAATAAGGGTGCAATGAGGGTTAGAAATGATAGTCAGAGATGAGGTTCAAAAATAATGGTTAAAAT